GGCAGCATTGCATGTCGAGGAAAGTCGTGAGAAAGTCATTCGCTAGCACGACTGCCACGACTTGCTCTCCATGCCGCGGGAAGGTGGGATGGGATGCAGCCCACCAGAAGTCGTGGCTGCCATGGAGCAGGCACATAAAGCGGCTCTTTCTTTCGGGGGAGGGGAAACACATGCAGGCAACCAGGCGCGATGGGGGCAACCACACCCATTTGTGCCCCGCGGAAGGCGGAAGGCGGAAGGCGCACAGCGAAGGGCATCGCCAGCCAACCGATCTGCCCTGCGCCTGCCACAGTTTCAACCCGACAACAAACTCAACCCTTCTGCGCCTCCCTCCCACTTCACTTTTCAGTCTTGTGACCGAAGCTCACCTTGACTGGCCACACCCACTGCGAGGCTTCGCATCTGGATATGTTGTCCAAAATAAGATTGGTCCCTGTGGGCTGAATACTTGGTGGTGTGCAGCATCAAAACTTAGCATCAGTGCCCCGGTGGTAGGGCAGACGCGAACCGTAATCCATCATCTCGCCGCATCCACGGCCTTGTCGGAACCAGGCGGCTCAAGCCAAACGCAGTGGCAGTGATACGACACAGTCGCCGCAGTAGTTCCTCGCCAGGGCGTCAGCCCGACGGGCACCTGAGCCAGGCGTGCGTTGCGCGAAAGACCGACGCAAATCCAGAACCGCAACGTGGCGCCTTGATCTCGCCAGCTACTGCCGCTCTGCCTTTGCGCACCTGGGCCTCCCGCATTGTATCCCACACATGACGTGCCTCTAGACCCTCTCCACGTTGAAGCCAATTCTGGGTCAATTGCGGGGTGCTGTCGTAGTCCCTGGGCCATCGCCCATTACAGACGCCAAACCGCCATGTCTCGCCTTCGGCCGGATCCTGTCCATCAACAGCTGAGATGCAGGCAATTGGTGCCAAGGCATTGGGCACTCCCAATTGGACGCAATGAAGCATCGAGCGACCCTCTACGACGCCCTTGGGACCCGGCTGTCGGTTGAGGCTCGTCCAGTGCTGTGCGCCATCAGGAGCATACTGCCAGCCACTCAACACTACGAAAGCTATCTTGCTCACCAACAACACAACACGCTGGTTGCATGAGCCTCGTATCCAGTTACCAGCTCTCGGGGGACCTGGAGTCATACTCCACGGCCGCCAAATGTTCTAGACCTCAGGCGAGTCTGCGCCTCCGGAGTGCGCGTCGAACCCTGGCAGGGACACGACGGTGACCCTTTTGTTGACCAACACAGTGAGCTTCAGGCCCGTTGGCTGTGAGGGATGTGCTCAACATTGAAGTCACAGGCCAATGCAGCCTTGCGTCAACGTCGCGTAATTCTCTTTCGGTTTTCTGGTTCATACTTTGCTTTGGTCAAGAAAGACAACACGGTCAGCTGCACGACATGTCGCAAGATGGACAGACGGCCGAGCCTCTTCGCGGGAGGAAGGTGTGAGCGCCCTCCCTCAACTCTGTTTGCGCCATGCAGCAGCGGGCGATTCCCCTTACCTTCACATGTCAATGCCACCAACCCCCTCTATGCAACGCATCAATGGCTCACTCAGGACCACGCAATCTGTACTTTGCTCGTGATCGTCCTATTATTCTACACAACGACGGATAGCATATGATTTCTAGGTGCCCTTGCACTGGACAGCCGAACATGCCAAGAGCACTTGACCGACCGCGATAGTCAAGCGGTGGAACTTGTTCTCGTGTGTGAGTCGGAATGGCAATCAATAAGTTCTCCCTAAGCCTCCATGTACCGTCATCGACAACATGATCCTCGTTCCCAACAAAGCATGTCTGTCTACCCCACAGAGGAGAACCGAGCTAGCTAGAAGGGGGGGACGAGCATTCAAGCCTCAAGCCCTCTGGCCCCGGGAATTCCTCTTCGATAGCCTACGTTGGTCGCCTTGACTCGCCCAAGTAGAATTGCGAGCGTGATGCGCATCGCCCTCAATGAAACTCAATGCAAGACAGATTGGTGTCATGAACATGGGGGAAAAACACAATCCCTAGGTCACATTCAGAAGGCCAAGCAACCGGCATTCGAGCCATTGGTACGGAGTACAAATCATCGGTTCCGCGCGTCGTGATTCGCGCTACGAGCACTGGATCTGCTCCATGGTGGGCGTACCACCACTGCACAGGAAATCACCGTCCGCGCCGTCGCTGCCCACGACGTTGTTCAACGGTCACCGCGCGTCGCGTCGAGGAGAGATACTTAGTCAACCCCCCCTTTTTCTCTCTCTCTCCCGGGTGACCGCGTTCTGGCAACAAGCTCGGCGTCCGCCAGAAACTCCAATAGCGCTGTCGGGCGCGTCCTCGGCAAGGCATCGGCAGCAGCTTGACCCACGCACCCTGCCTGCCGTGAGGCATCGTGTCAAAGTACCGTCATGTTCGCGCCCATGGAAGCCACACACTTGCCGTTCCAACGGGGCCCCCTTCCTTCTTATCTGTTCAGATTTAGATGCGGCGGCCGTCCGTCTGGCCGTGCCGTCTCCGTCCTTGTGAGGAGTCCTTTGTGAGCAAGGAACGAAGAAAGTGTGAATGAACCACGCACCGCCAACAAACCCGCAAATCCTTCCGAACTCTCCCGAACCTGCGCAAGCGCCGCCCAGAGCAAAGGAAAAGTTTTCTCGCCCTGCCGGGCTGATGATATGGGGGGAAAGGGGGGGGGGGGGGGGGATGTCGGGCCGGGGACCACGACAAGGCCACCAAGTCCGTGAAACCTAGATCCCCACAACTCACTCACTGCTACGGGGCCGCCGTAGGTGGAAGGCGAAAAACTCACTCCGCCCTCACTGACCTCTCGCCCGCCGTCAGTGCCGGGGTACCCTAGGTACTCGTCGGTAGGTCACCCACGCATACCTTAGGTAAAGGGAAGCCCCAAGAACAACCATGCAGACCCCCGACCGCCATTTCCCGCTGCGCTCGGGGTTCTTTTTTTCTTTGATATTCCGCCTCTGCGGCAATTGGGCATCTGCGGCAATTTGACAAGAGGCTTGAGTCACGAGATCAAAAGAAGGCAGAAAGAGGGGGAGGGGGGACTCTGTTTTCGAACCAACTCTCCACCCTTAACTCCGTACAGTACAGTCGTGGGTCTTCAGAGCTCTTCTGCCCCTCCCCTCAACGGGAAGGCCTAGACCGCTGCAAAGGTCCAGAAATGACGCAGAGGGGTTGGAGAGGAAGGGGCTGCTGCACTCGAACGCTGTGGGGCATGCGGCGAAAACCTGCAGGGACCACGGGTCAATATCACTCACATGGGCCACGAGAAGCAGAAGTACCACCAAAGGCACGCCGTGCGACATGTCCGTGGTTTTTTTTCTCTACACTCGGGCTAGTGGAGCAGAGTTGCAGAAGGCCATTCAGAGCCTTTGATCACTGGGAGGGAAATGGACAAGAAGCGTTTTTGATCAAATTTTATTCATGTTTTTGCTAAGAGCCCGCCTGTTAGCGGGGCGTTTTGGAGTGTGCTCACTCGCTTTTCCCCACTTCTCTCCACTCTCTGCGCCCATGCTCCCCGTTGTCTTTGAAGACCCGAGAACTCTGGTCCCTATTTTCTTTCGTTCGCGTACCCTTCGCAGTCAGCATCCCCCAGCCAGCCCTTCCTAGGCTGTTTGTGTTTTCGAGGTTGCCCTCGGGGTATGATGTCCCTTCTCTCTGCCTGGCCCATACAAGTACACACTACCATTGGAGGGGGGTCTCTCGCACCCCCCGACATGAATTCGGAATGCTACCGACATCCGATGAAGAAAACAGAAAAACGATGAAATAGAACCGTGGTATCATATGAATAAGCAACGCCGCCGTAATGTTGAGGTCGTTATGCCTCTTTTCTGTAGTGTCCTCCCGTTGGATTATGGGATAAGTGACCGTGAATGATGTGTCGCCTCGCAATGCATTGGGGTGAATGTACAGGGCAGGTGGGGAAGGAGTGCCCGTTTTGTTATGTGCAGTCAATGTGGTCGGTGATTACCAACCCTTGGAGTGATAGCCTCCATGGGTCTCTTTCTGGAAGTACTGGTTGTTGGGGTTGGAGTCTTCGCCCTTGTTCATGTATGCCTTCTCGGGATACTGCTTGAGGTTGGCAACGTCGTGGGACGTGTGGCGACGCTTGAGGACCGCGTTGGCGGTGGAGCTCTTCTGCTGACGCTCCCAGAGCAGGTTGCGGCGCAGAGACTCTGTCAGTTCGGTGGCCAGCATGTTGCGGCGCGTGGTACGGGGCGACAGTGCGGCTTGGGCCTGGAGGTGGCTGTGGCTGGCCACGGTGGCGATGGGCTGGGCAGTGGAGCGAGGAATCTCGTTGATGGGCTTGAGAGGCGAAGACCGGACACCCTTCTTCATCATCAGAGGGGCCTCGTCCGAGTCGTTGGGCGAGCCGGCCACAGCGTGCGTCTGTGAAAGACGCGACGCACGTGGCAGCGCCGAAGTCGACTGCGAAGCAATGTTGCTCAGTTTGGTTGCGCGATCGTTCTGGGCGAACATGACAGAGATGAGTGAGCGGCGCGAAGTGAGGTTGACCTTGGAGTCGACGCGCTGGAAGAGCGTCTTGTCGTCCATGCTGGAACGGCCGCTGTCTTCGATCGAGTCCTCCCAGTCGGAGGAGTCATCGTCGTCATCAATGGCGCTCTCGTCGACGTAGTCGGTGTCCGAGTCGTCGGCGACGGCGCTGTCGTTGTCAATGGTGCGAGTGACGAGCTGAGCGCTGAACGAGGCCTGCTTCTTCTGAGGGTTGAGGAGGCCGTTGGGGCGGGGTGAGGCGAGTGCGCTCTTGACAGAGCTGTCCTCCTCAGAGGAGCCACCGAGAGCGAACATCTTGCGCTTGACCTGGGGGGCGGGGACAGCGCGGGTGTTCTTGGGGCTATCCTGCTCGCTGCTGGAGCAAGAGCCACCCATGACGAAGACGGGTTGCTTCTTGGCCATGACGTTCTTGGCCGCAGGCTCGGATGTGGGCTCGGGAAGAAGGGTGGCGGGGATGCTGCGGGGAGTCTCCATGATGGTGCGGGTCAGCGAGCCCTGGGAAGGAGAAAAGCCGCGGACGACGGTGGTGCGCGAGTTAAGCTCCAGGGACGTGGGCTCCCGGGATGGCTCCTGCTCGCCCTCGGAGGACTTAGAGCGCGACTCGGTGGTGGTAGATCCGGAGCGCTCAAAGCTGGGGCTGGACGAGGGCGACGCCTTTTTGGCGGCCAGGTAGGGAGAGGCAATGTAGGGGAGAGGGGCGGAGAGTGGCTCCTTCTCGTTGATGATGGAAACGACAATCTTCTCGAAGCCGTCGGCGGTAATGTGGCGCTCGCGGCCACGGCTGCGGCTGCTGGCACATGAGTCTTGCCTCTGTATCCTGGGGCGGACAATGTCGAGGCCGGACTCTTCGGAAAAGTCAACGGCTTCCTCGTCCATGACGGAGTCGAGGCTGCCAGAGAGCTGAGGGACGTCGGGTATCCTGGCGTCGGCGGTGATCTCGCGGGGAAGGCTGGTGGCGGTGTAGGCGGGAGTCTGCTCGTCTGTCGCGCAGCAGAAGGTCTCGCGGTTCCAGAGACGCCAGCTGATGTTCTCTAGCCTGCGACCCTGCTCGAGGGACTCTGCGCAACGGGCAAAGACTTTGGGGACGCCATGTCAGTAAAAGGGAGGCGAGTTTGTAGGGCAGAAAGGCCTCCCAGCAGGCGACTTACCAGTCCACATGCTGTAGAGGTTCTGTGGGTTAGATGTGTCGACCTTGTGCAGAAGGTTGGTGTCCACAGTCAGGACGTGCGCGTCGAGTGGGAAAGGCATGGTGTGTCGTGCTGCTCGGGGAGTCGAGCAGGCAGGCGGAGACACGTCAGGATATATGGTTGCGGTAATGCAGGCGGCGAGGGCGCGTGGTGATATTGTGGTGGAAGTTGTAATTGTATTCAGATACGAATGTCGTCGGCACCGGTGGCGGGATGGTTATTCGCAAATGTACACTGAACACTCAAGGATGCGCGCTGCTCTCAGTTAAGGTGATGAGGTGAAAGGGTCGATTCGTCAACGTGGACAGCTTTTGTTGGTATAGGTGGTGATGGAGTGTCGAGGTAGGCAACGGTGATTGTGTTGTGAAGATGCAGTGGATACTCGCAAGAGTCTGTCGTGCAGTTGAGTGCCGGGTGGAGAGTTGAAGTAACAGGAGGGAGGAAGTGTGGGAGGTCTGGGGAGTGAGTGGTAATTATTATCGTCGGGTCAGGTCCAGGATCGGAGTCGAGCCGAAGTGGGATACACGTATGGAATGGCTCTGGTTGTGGACGTCGATGGGGGGGGGGTGG